ACAGCCGCCGGAGGGGAGAGGGTGGGGGCTGGGCTCTAGAAAGAGACTTTGCCGCTCTTGGGTGGCGTTCCTGGAGCTTCCTCAGCGGTTGGCGGTCGAGCTGGTTGGAAATAGTGATTCTGTGCTTTTATCTTTCGCATGGACGCGTTCAGCCTTTTTGAAATTGTTGCTGGGCAGTGTGGCTCCTTACGGCCAAGCCCGTTTAGGATTTTTTTTTGACTTAGATGTGTCTCATTTCCTTTTCTAAAAAGAGCAAACCAGAGAATAACTGGAATTTCAGAGCTTTACCAGTGTCTCATCCTCTCACAAAGGAATTGGCGCAGAAGGTAGCTAACAGCCCCCTTCTCGGGGCACTCACCGGGTAGCTGCCGTGCTGCCGGTCCGTGAGCCGCAGAGGCTGCCTCAGGGGTTTGCAGCGATGTTGCTCCCGAAATTGTTTGTTGTAGGTCTGTGAACTGGCACCTTGGCAGTGTGCAGAGAGCGCCTGGGCTGGATTCCTCAGGAGTGCTGAGGCACCAGTCTTTGGCTGCTTTCGTGGACAGATTCAAGGGGCTAGTCTAGAAATGCAGTTTCTTGCTGCAGGATGCCTTTATCTGCCCATGTTAGCAAAAGTCCTGTTTGTGGGTGGTTCAGGCTGTTGTGCTGAGCTGTGAGCTGGGCTGATGGGGATCTCGTCCTGTGCTCTGCTGTTTCAGAGAGTGGAAGGCTGATCCCTTATAACAAGGAGGACATGAAAATTTTGGGCCATCTCTTCTGGTCCAACTTCAAGACCTTTAAGCTATATGACATTAATGCCTGTGGTTTGGTTTTATTTTTATACTGGGGTGAAAAATTATTAGCTGGCTGTCAGATACTATGTGTCTTTTAGATTAATATGATTAACTTCGGTAGTTTCCCGACATATAAACCCCAAAGCTTTTCTTGTTATTCACAGAATAACATGCTGGACTTCGTGTTTGCTGTTGATGACTCTGTGACCTGGCATATGATGAACTTGTTAAAGAACAGGAGTCATTATTCCTTCTTAAAACTTTTTGGACCAAAGCAGATCAGCAGTGTACAGAGCTATGGAGCAGGGATCTACTACAATACTTTGGTGCCGTGTAACGGAAGGGTAAGTACAAAGAGTTTGAGTAAATGGAGTCAAATGTTTGAATGTGAAGTATTGAAATGGTCAATGTAAAGCAGATTTCTGTACAAGAAGGAGATCTTGCCGATTGTAACTGATTCCTAACTCATGGTATCTTTAAGTCTCAGAGCCCTTTCATGAACAGCAAAAAGCAGATGGAGCAGCTGCTTTTGCACTGTAGAAATGTGAGCAATGTTTGGTATTTATTAACCGAAGCACTTCATAAATCGGATTTGTATTCCTTATTGCTTGCTGTCTGCCAGTTTTGGTGGCTATAAACTGTATTGTGGGCTCACAGACTCTTCATTCGAGCTGGTGACTGTGTAGTAATGGCAGAGTGGATTCTGGCTTGGTTTGATGTAAAATGCAAATATTTTACATAGTGAGCTGGAATTGACACTTGTGTTGTTTAATGGATAACATCCTGGCCTGTGGAGCTGGGCTGTAATTACTAATTCTAGGTAAGTACCATTTGCCCAGCCAGTCCTAATTCTGCATCTAGGCATAGCCTGTGTCTGTGTCAGAATACTGTGTCTGTCTGTCTGGGTGTTGATTTTGAGTAACTTTTGCCATGTGGTAGCTTTTTTTGGGAAAGCGAGTGCTTTAAGAAAGGTGGGGAATGAAGTGAAATGAAGGACAGCTGTGAGAGAGTGCCCTGTCCTGGAGCAGGCATGGCTGCAGTAGTGTTGGGTCCTTGTCAGAATTCTTCACAGAAAGTGGAGAGGTCGATAAAGTGGTCTTGTTGGGTACTTGTGCTTTTGCTTAAATGCATCTGTATGAGGCAAGAAATTGGTGTTTAAACTTTGTTCACTTTGTGTAAAGAGGGATTTTGGATTTTATTTCAAGGAGGTGCAAATTGGAAATAAACTGTTGAAAGTTTTTGATTTTTTTCTAGATACATAAAATGAACTTAAAAATGGCAATTTGTTTTTTAATGTCAGAGAGCAAAGGAAAAGGCTTTCTGATACACTGCCCACTACTCAGTAATGGTACACAGGGACGTCTGGAGTTTTTATTTAAAATAAATAAATCTAAATAGTTCATCAGAGATCTAAAATAAATCTCTGATGAACTATTTTTTTAGCATTTTCAGTATCAAAGAATACTCTGAATTGTTCCAACTACTGTAACATTTGACTGGTGCAAAACAGCTTGTAACTTTCTCAAGGAACAGTTGGATTTTAATGTTCAGATCTCTGCAGTGTCAGTGTCTGGCCAGACTAGGTTCCTCTGGGGTTTAAAGTCTTGGGTGACTTTCTTGTACCTTTGATTCGAGAAAGTATCTTAAAGAGTTCTGTGCATTCCACTTTTCTTTTCCCCAAGTGTCTGCATGTGAATAGGAATTACTTTTTTTTTTCACCTCCCATGTTCCTTAAAATATTAAAATGCATCTGGTTTTATATTGGAGGTGTGTTTTCCTTAGAATTAATGGTGGTTATAGTAAGCAAATAGTAAGTTTCCTGTCATTAAAATGGTGCAAGTATATAGTTTTTAAAAGGCTGTTATTTTGCTTTTTTGCAGGTGATAAAATATGGTGTAATTAGCACTGATACCCTGATCGATGATTTACTTCACTGGAAAACCCTCTATGTCGCTGGACGCCTACAAAAACCGGTAACCCTTGGTCTGTTGAGTTTTCTGTCTTGAAATGCAGGAAATTACAGGGCTGGCAACTCACCAGCTGTGGTTTTAGCTTTAGCTGTTAAGGGCCTACACATCAGTACTGAATAAATAACCTGCCCAGATTTGGGGTTCTAGCCCTAGAGGGATGATCTCTCAGAAGGGAAGTGAAATGTGGTCCTTAACGATATTCAGCGTTCCGTGGGGAAAAACCTGAAGTGTGTGTATTCGTCACAGTTTTCTGTCTGTAGTAAATCTTGAATAATGGGACTGCATTGACTTAAAGTCCCTGTACTGTTGCCTGTAAGGTTTACCTTTATAACAAGTTACAGAGGCCACCAAAATTTAACACAATTAGATAATCGGAAATCTTTAAAGGTGAAAACTGCTTTGTTGTGCTCTGACTGGTCCAGTTCATTGTGTTGTTAACATATTTATTGTAAAGTATATGTAGCATATAATTGACTGAACTGTGCATTTGGCTTGTTGGTTTTTCTTCCCCATATTTGCATCATAAAAAGCAAATAAATAATAAATTCAGTTGAGGTGAGAGAGAGAGGAATATGAATAACTTACAGAAATATCTTGAACTCTCTGTAGAGGTCTTGGGAAGTTTAGGGTTTTTATGTTACAAAAATTGCCACAAAGGAGTGACAGAGCGCAGGTTTGTTTACAGAACTTTTTCGTTGTCCAAATCTGTAAAAACATGTTTTTGAAAGAGAATGGAAAATTATCTCACTGTGATATTTAACAGAGGGTGGGTGTGGCTGCATGGCAAACTGGAATAGCACTTTTTTTACATACCTTTCATCCTCTAATGAGATTTTTCTGTGTATGTTTTCGTCTGTAAATGTTAACACACATCTGCAGTTTCTTGTGTGTGAGTTTCCTAGCAGTCAGGATGGTACTTTTTCTGCTTTAAACTTTTGTGCTGACTGGGGGTCATGCTGATTTTTGAAATTGTCAATATATCCCTTATTTCTCTGCTGTTAGTAGAGTAACTGAATTCTGTGCACACTGTAAAACTGGAGTAAATAGGCTGCTTCCTTCCCCCTGATACGATGCAGTACAGCAGATAGTTCTGATCAGAAGGTCTTTGTGCTGTGAAGAAGTCTTCCTTAACTTTGATATACCCCAAGAATCAACATTCACCTGGGTGACAACTATTGCACTCATCTTCCTGGGAAATTTCTGGCTCTATGAGCTATTCAGAATTCGATATCACTGCTTCAGTGTTTCAGACATTCAAATTCCGAAGGCTATAGCATATTATTTCCCTTTAAAAAATCTAGTTGGTGGTAGGGAACGTGTTCATGCTGGTTTCAGTAACATTTCTAGCTCCATCTTCACCAGCACTCTCCTGAAGCCTTGCTTCCAATGACTCTGCTTTTTCAGGTGAAAATACTGACGCAAAACGATAACAGCAAGCTGCAGGTGGCTCTGGTGAGCAACCTGAAGAGTGCAGTCACAGCCGCCTTCCTCATGCTACCGGAGAGTTTCTCTGAAGAGGACCTCTACATGCAGATCGCTGGGCTCTCCTATTCTGGTTAGTATGTAGTGTCTGGAGTCGCTGAGGAGAAAAGCTGGAGCTGTTGGGCTGCGGGAGGAAGTCTAACGTGCACTAAGTCATCCACTCTCTTTCTTTGGGCCTGAACTGTTCTGCGGTCTGACTACTTTATTTTAAAGCTGTCTTACTAACAGCTTGGGAAGACTAATTGTGCTTATTCATAGAAATGAAAGAGGCGAAACTTCTTATACCTGCTTGATTTATGAACATATGATTGAATGTGGTGAAATAATGTGGAGTTTTTTCTGTTTATATGGATTATATTATGGTTTTGATGATTCAAAACTTTGGGAAAAAAAATTTTCTTTCCACTCTTAGTGTATGTTGATTTGTCTCATAGTCTGACCCATACTTTGTCTTCTACCTTTTGAATGTGCTGTGTTTACGGTTCTTATTAGTTAATTTAAAGATCCAGATCATGATTCTTCAGTCCTGGTTGGTGTTTATTGACTTTTTGTTGTTGTTGTTGTTAAAAGGATTTCCTCCTTTCTCTAGTTATGAAATTGATATGGGGGAAAAAAAAATTACTCCAAATGGCTCTTGAATACAAGGTTGAATTGTTTCAGTGTAATTCAGCATCGCTCTTTAAATGTTGTTATCCTTAATGAAGTCACTATGAACAAGTTCAGTTGGAGTTGTACTTCTCAGGGCATTTTCTTAGCTCACAGAAATGCGAGTTTGTTTTTTAAAAGAGGTGCAGGTAGGCAGGTGGGTTTTATAAGCTGCAGCTTGACTCTACTGAGAAGTGTTGCTGTTCTTGGCATAGCACTTCTGTGGTCAGTTTGGATTGCAGCTTGCTTGGCTTTTCCTTTTTTTTATTTTATTTTTTTTCTTCCTAAATTGCTAGAAAAAACCCCATTTGACAGCAACAGTGAAGAGGACACTGGCAAGGGAGTTGGACTGGATGATCTTCAGGGGTCCTTTTCAGCTCCTACCCTTCTGTGATTCTCTGTGTGTTCCCCTTCTCTGGGTTTTCATTTTTTTTCCAAACAAAATAACTGTTTCGCTTCTCTTTGCTAGGTGATTTCAGAATGGTGATAGGAGAAGACAGATCGAAAGTGCAGAACATAGTGAAGCCTAACATTCCCCATTTTCAGAAGCTGTACAGTAACATCCTGCAGGACTGCCCTCAAGTGGTCTATAAGCACCATCTGGGAAGGCTGGAGGCAAGTGTTCCTCAAAACATTTTGAAAACAAGTAAAGTGCTTTCTCACGCTAACAGAAGGCAAGAATTGTGCCATACACCAAGAGGAGCAGTTATAGTCCCTGTACTTGCTATTTATGATGTTTCTCTTGTTTAGTTAATTCCGCACCCAGAAGGCTTGCTGTTTGAAATCCCAGTCTCTGCAGATGCAGTGACTGCTGTTTGCTTTCTTTGGGTACAGGCACAGAACTAGAGCCCTAGCAAAGCAACGAGAGGAGACCATTTCAAAACATGTGTTCTGATGAATGCCCAAGAGAAACAGCAGTCTGGGAAGTATAAATAAACATCTGGTTTGTGTTAAAGACATTAGGCTGTACCCGAGAGGTGCAACTCTCTGCGATCAAAACTGCATCTCACACAAGCCCTGGAATGCTAGTTACGAAAATCGGGTGGCTCAACCCAAATGAAATTCTGGCATTATATTTAAATAGCCATTACTAAAACAATCTTTTTCCCAGTATTTGGGAAACAAGTAACCAGAATGACCAAGATCTTCTTTTCCGTCTTTCTGGCATAAAGTGTTAGTGAAACATTGCAGTCCGAAGTCCAACAGCAGCTTTTCCTTTTGTAGTGTGGGTGTCCTTGGCAGACAATAGCAATGTGAAGTTACAGATTGCATGGATTGTCTCATGGACATGGATGTCTCTTTATCCTCAAGTTGCCTTGATAACTATTTCACAAATGCCTCTTTTTAGGACATATGTTTTAAAAACTGACAAGCAAGCTTGAGTACAAGCGAACAATTTTACCATAACCCTTTGGAGAACGGCATAGGTGAATCTGTATTATACTGCAGCTGCCTGTGCTTTCTTATCAATGTGCTTGTGAACAGTTTAGTAGAAGAATTATTTAAAAGAATTTTGAAAAGAGTCAGTAATGACTAGTTTGAATAATACTCCCTGTTTTGTTACCTTTAAACAGATCTTGGTATCATACTACAAGTATGGATAATAAAACTCTCCATATTTCTATAATAATCGTCAAGACTGTTGATGAAATGCCGTCATTTTACCATTGATTTTGAGCAGAGTGATTCAGTATTTTATTCCTCACACCTTGGCCTGGTTGTTGGCAGCTGTTCCCCAGACCAGCGAGGATAACTGCTGTTGGGAGTGATGTTTACTTCAGAACAGAAAACCATTCTCTAAGTACATGTCTTCAGAGTTACGGGGAAAGTTCTTTGTTGAAAGCTTCCTCAAAAACACCGGAAGGCAGGCACTAGTTCGTACAGTTCTGGTTCAGGTGTGGGTTCCTCCCACATCACGTGAAGAGCCAGCTCCTTGCACGGCTCGCTCTGCAGTCGCTGGGTGATTCATCTGGATATCCTTTTCTCCCCACTGACTGACGGGAGTGTACCGGGCTGCTGGGATCCTGGCTGATATCTCCATGAACTGAATGACAAGTTGTGTGGGAGGAATTGAACTCTTCATATTTTCCTCCAGTTTTGGAGAGATTTGCTTTATTATTTGGGGGTTTTTCAGTATTCGTGCTTAACGTTTTGCATAAATGTGTACAGGCTTACATTTTGGTACCGTTGTATTCAAAATAAGGTCATTGTATTTCTGATTTAAATTGGAAAACATGGAGTGAAAGTTCCCTTCAAATTATACAAACCAGATGTGGTTTGAGTTTAAAGCAGAGACAGTGTTTTTCAAACTAAACTTGAAACAAGTGTATATGTGTGTGGTTTGATTATATCCAAGCAGAGGAACCTGAGTGGTCTTTTGGGAACTTTTTATTTATTTCATTGCAGTGGACTTGTGTTTCCAGAGGAAGTTGGGTAGAGCAGAAATGATGCTGTTTCAGTGAAAGGCTGCTTGCAGAGGCAGCAGGGTCATGTGTCTGCAGACTTCCGTTGGATAAAAATTAACCTCTTTGCACTGAGTTATTCTTCATGTTCAGTTATTCTTCAGGTTCAGAACTGAGTTACCCCATTTCCCAGTGCTTGGGAAGTTTCCATGAGCATTGTCAGTGATTTTTGCGAGTGAAATGGATCCTATCCTGTGAGATATTTACCAGGTTCAAAGATAGCCAAAAGACCATTTTGATTTCTTTGAAAAAGAAAACTTCCCTTGTTAACAATGTATATTTTTATTGTCTTATATTTTCTCTAACATGCAGATAGATAAAAGTCCAGAAGGTCAATTTGCACAACTAATGGCTTTGCCAAGGACTCTGCAGCAAAAGATAACTTCTCTGGTAGACCCTCCTGGGAAAAACAGAGATGTGGAAGAAATTTTGCTGCAAGTTGCGCATGACCCTGACTGTGGATTTGTGGTGCATCAAGGTGGGCCTAGATCAGTGTCTGTAACCTGTTTTACAACGTGATGGATACAGAGATTTACTATGTAGTTCTAATTCAGCCGGATGATTTAGAGAGAAGGATGAAGAAGACAAGAGATTAATCAAAAGAGCTAGTCAGTTAAATGTTCCTAAAAGTCTGGGTTTGCCTTTCTTTGATTGCAGACAGATAATCTGAAATATTAGCAAACAGCATTCCTGTGATACTGAAAGAGATGTTTTGGTTTGGGTCCTGAAAGAAGTAGTCTTCAGGAATTAGCTTGGCCTGCTTAGCCTGTCTAGCTCCAGTTGGCAGGCTTACAGCTTCAGGATTGACACATCTTAGTTCCAGGTGGCCAATTTTGCAACCTCCTTGAGCGTGGCAAAAGCTCTCTGGACTCCTGAGAGCCTCTTGGCACTAGCCAGCTGTGGAGGGAGCTCTTGCTCTGGTTTCTGTGCTGGGAAATGGAGCTCTTGAGAGCTGCAGCTCTCTGTGGGCAGCGTGGGATGAACTGTACCTGGACGTGAAACTGTCCGGCTGCTCCTGTGTCAGTTTGTGGCAACTTCAGGGCTGGACTGTGACAATGACATGGTAGCAGCCAAATCTGGGAGCAGGAGTCATGGTGGCGTGAGCTGCATCTAGATTTAGAGCTCCGAGCTGACTGTGCCTGCGGTTGT